TGTTCTTATCTCCCAGGGTCGAGGTCCACATAAAAAAGCGGTCCACATAAAGGAGCGGATACCTCTCTCCACGTGGGCTTCCCAAAGGTTTCTCAAATTTTTCACTCTCGATTTTTTAGATTGCCGATGCAGAGGAGTCTAAGGGACATTTCTGGACTGTGGTCACCCTGCTCCCTATGGACCAATGACTGCTATGTGTTTGTTACTATTGCATCTCTGATTCTCTGACCTATTGTTGGAAAACAAGTTTCTAATAAAGTCCTCCAAGACGACTGCTGTCATGATTTAGGGCTATACAAAAGATATATTGAATTGGATTAATTAACAAAAGCCTAAAAACAGACAGAGAATTTGCTGATAGATAGTAGTAATTGTAATTTACTGCTGCAAAAGAAGTCTATCGTTCTCTGTAATGATAGCCACACACAACAGGCTAATGAAATGGACGTGGTGAGACAACAAATGAGGAGGAGAGGTTGGAGATACCACTAACTCTAAGGTCAATAAAGTGCTGCTTGAAATTACCCACCACTCCCCAGTTCCCGGCGGTCTCAATGGTCCCCACACCAATAAAGGCCCCAATAACAAACATGTACTAAGCTGTTAATCAGAATTTAATGAACTAACTGTCATCTCTGGTTGTTAAGCGGATTCCAGGATATTGAGGAGCGTGCTACCTCAAAATAGGAGCAAATGATGTCAGTTATATGAAGAGTGAAAAGGCTCATGAGTCTCTGTCATGTTAGTGCTAAATAGATTAATTACATAACTTGTTTGAGGAGGGGGTGTGTGAAGCTGTGCTCAGGAAATCCTATTACATTTTCCTCCTGCTAATTAGTTTTTGTCTGTACTTTGTTCACTCTGTGAAAGGTTTGATACGGGGCACAATAACTGTAAACGTCAATTTTTCAGAAGCATTACATTTCTCATAACCCTCGGAGTAAAGACATAATTATGATACGAGAAAGAGAATTGATTTGAGAAGCCAGTGGAGGAAGCAAGCTGCAGTGAAGTGCACCACAGTGGTGGAGGGGTTTATTTGTTTTATATTTTATATTCCTGGGGAAGACCATGGCCTGATCTGTCCTGGGGCCTGCATATTGTCTCAGCCCTGCGGCCCGAGTGTACTGTGGGTGTGTACATAGGAACCAATGTGTATGGTAGATACCTCTTGGGACACATATTAAGGAAGGACACTCCGGGATGTATAGAATAAAGCAAGAGTCTAAACGCTACAAGTGCCTCCCGTCTTACTTAAGCTTGTATCTATGGTCAGGCATAATAGTACATGGTGTCAGAAGTCAAGAATCCCGTCTCAGGCAGAGATCAGAAGACTACGTCGGTGTGAAGTAGCAGTTTTGCCGCGAGTGAAGCTACCTTCGGGAAAATAAGCTAACGGCGCGAAAAAAAAAAAAGACGTCCAGAGGACAGCGCGAGAATGATGGATTCCCTATTTTCAATCAACCCACCTGAAAACTATGACTTCAGCGACTACTCTGCATGGCCCAACTGGATCCGCCGTTTCGAAAGGTTTCGTGTGGCGGCGGGACTGGATGGCAAGGATGAAAGCTATCAAGTAAACTCTCTTGTGTACACCATGGGCGATAAAGCAGATGATATTTTGAGTACGCTGGGGTTGAGTCAGGATGAGCTTAAGAAGTACAACAGTGTAAAAGGAGCTTTCGACAAGCACTTTATCGGCAAACACAATGTAATATACGAGAGAGCACGTTTTAACAAGCGATGCCAAGAAGCGGGGGAATCGGCTGAATCCTTCATCACGGCAGTCTATAAGTTAGCAGAAAACTGCCAGTATGGACCACTGCAGGACGAAATGATAAGAGATAGGCTAGTGGTGGGCATACAGTCAGAGAAGCTGCAGATGGATAGTGGATTAACACTGGAAAAGGCAGTGCAACAAATAAGACAGCATGAAGAGATAAAGAAACAACAACCAGTCGTGAGAGAGACAAATGTCAAGGACATGAAAGAAGCAAACGTGGATTTATTAAAGTTTAAGAAAAAAACTTTCAAAGAAAACCAAACACGAAAACCATTTGAAATAAACAGTCGAAATGAAAATCAAAAAGGATACAAGTACTGTGCGCTGTGGTAAATCACCTGCACACTCCAAAAACATCTGTGCTGCACGAGATGCAGAGTGCAGAAAATGTCGGAAAAAGGGACATTTTGCAGCTGTGTGCAGATCAGGCAGAGTTGGAGTGGTCCTGGAGGATGAGGACAACACACTGTTTTTAGGAGCAGTGTCGGCAGGGGCACAACCCCACAACTGGAAAATAACACTGGATGTAAATGGCAAAAATATGACTTTTAAACTGGATACAGGAGCTGACGTGACCGTGATACCGGCGGCCACCTACTCAAAAGACCTGCACGGCCCACTCACCAGAGCAGTGAAACCCCTGTGTGGTCCCAGTGGAGAAGCCCTGAAAGTAAGAGGTCAGTTTAATGCTGTCATGAAATACAAGGACAAAACGACAACGCAGCCAGTGTATGTCATACAGAGACTGTCTACTCCTTTGCTAGGTTTCCCAGCCATTTCAGCTTTAGGCCTGCTGCACCCCGTAGACAGTGTTACAGAGTTTGAGGCTGACATAAAACAGCTGTACCCCAAAGTCTTCACAGGGCTGGGCCTTTTAAAAGGGGCGTACAAAGTGAAACTGAAAGAAGGTGCCAAACCCTATGCATTGTCGCTGCCAAGACGAGTCCCACTGCCTTTGTATGACAAAGTGAAGGTAGAGCTCGAAAGGATGGAGAAGATGGGGGTAATTGAGGCTATTGAGGAACCAACAGAGTGGTGTGCTGGAATGGTGGTGGCCCCTAAGCCCAATGAAAAGGTCAGAATCTGCTCTGACATGACTCACCTAAATGAGTATGTTTCTAGAGAGCGCCACATACTGCCTGCTGTAGATGAAACTTTGGCTAAGTTTGCAGGTGCAACAGTCTTCACTAAACTGGATGCTACAGCTGGATTTTGGCAGGTACCTCTACACCCAGAGTCAGTCCCTCTGACCACATTTATCACCCCGTTTGGAAGATACTGCTACAAAAGGTTGCCAGTCGGAATCTCGTCCGCACCTGAACACTTCCAAAAGAGACTAACCCAAATGCTGTCAGGGCTTGAGGGAACTGTGTGCCACGCAGACGACATTCTGGTTTTTGGGTCCACTCGAGAACAGCACGACCAAAGACTGCACAGAGTGTTGGAGCGGCTCCAGCAGGAAGGACTGACTCTCAACAACGACAAGTGTCAGTTTGCTGTGGTAAAGGTCATGTTTCTTGGTCACATTGTCACGTCACAGGGCATTGAAGCAGACCCAGGAAAAATCAAAGCGATCACGGAGATGCCTACACCTAAGGATGCTGCAGACGTGAAAAGGTTTGTGGGCATGGTAAACTATGTTGGAAAGTTTTCCCCACGTATAGCTGAACTCACACAGCCACTAAGAGAGCTCCTCAAAGCGGACACCACCTGGGAATGGGGGACCGCACAGCAGCGTGCCTTTGATGAGCTACGAAAGGAACTGAGCTCGCCCACAGTCCTCGCCCAGTATTGTCTGAATAGAGAGACAAAAGTTGCGGCAGACGCTTCCTCCTTTGGATTGGGTGGGGTCCTGTCGCAAAAGCAACCAATAGGCGAATGGCGTCCGGTGGCTTTCATTTCACGCAGCATGACAAACGCAGAGCGCAGATATGCCCAAATCGAAAAAGAGGCACTCGCTCTGACCTGGGCATGTGAACGGTTTCAGACGTACCTGGTAGGAATGGACTTTTTGATCCAAACTGATCATAAGCCTCTCATTTCCCTACTAGGCAGCAGAGCTCTCGACGATTTGCCACCTCGTATTCTACGGTTTAGATTACGACTACTTCGCTTCACGTACAAAATAGAACATGTCCCAGGAAAGAACTTAATCACTGCGGATGCACTGTCCAGGGCGCCAATCCAAGCGGCTCTCACAATGCAGGACAAGCAGCTGGAAGATGATGTGTCTGTGTCCATTAACCAGATTTTGCAACAGCTACCAGCATCTGAAAGCAAACTTGGACAAATTAGACAGGCACAGGAAATGGACTGTACGTGTAAAAAACTGAAAGATTTGGTACAAACAGGGTGGCCCACGAGCAGGAAAGCTCTCCCACCAGAACTTCAAGTGTATTGGCAGTACCACCAAGACCTGCTGGTGGTAGACGGACTATTGATGAAAAGTGAAAGACTTGTCATCCCAGCCCACATGCAGGAGGAAATGCTCAATATGGTACATGAAGGTCACCAGGGCATGACGAAATGCATTGCCAGAGCCCAACAGTCCATATGGTGGCCTGGTTTGACCAAACAAATCAAACTCAAAGTTGAAAACTGCACAACGTGCGCAAAGGCGGTTCACAATACACCGGAGCCTCTCATGACGACACAACTTCCTACTAGGCCATGGCAGCGTGTTGCAGCAGATCTCTTCCAGTGGAATCGTGCCATTTACCTGGTGGTGGTGGATTACTTTTCCCGGTATATTGAAGTTGCAAACCTTACCTCTACTACTGCCGTTCCAGTGATCAACAAGTTGAAGGCCATTTTTGCCAGGTATGGGGTCCCAGAAATCCTCGTCACAGATAATGGCCCCCAGTTTTCAGCAGCTGAGTTTGCAGCCTTCGCAAGGGACTATGATTTCAAACATGTAACTTCGAGCCCTCACTATCCTCAAAGTAACGGGGAAGCAGAGAGGGCTGTGAGAACGGTGAAGACTCTCCTGAATAAGGGGGAGGATCCACACAAAGCTCTCATGGCATACAGAGCCACACCCTTGGCACACGGCTCCTCACCTGCACAGTTGCTGATGGGTCGTAACATCAGGACGCCCTTACCAGTCAGTGAGGAGAAACTTCAACCAAGATGGCCAAACCTTGTATTGTTCCGAAGAAAAGACCAGGACCTGAAACAAAAACAAGCTTCCTGGTTCAACAAGAGACACAAAACTCAAATGAAACTAGAGCTCAGACCAGGACAGAGGGTCTGGGTGAAAAACACCAACAGCTCGGGGATTATCAGCAGCCCAGCCAACACCCCACGGTCCTACAACATCGACCTGCCGACGGGACGTCTCAGGAGAAACAGATCTCACATCACAGTGATTCCTGAGGGCACCACAGTCACCAGGTCGGGGTGGGTTGTTCACACCCCGCAGAGACTCAACATATGATCACCACTCCTATAGTAGGAAGCTGTGACCTACAGGGCAGAATAATCCCTGCACAGCTTGGGGACCCAGGTTGTCTTTCCTGACCCCTAGACGATTTCAGTGTCAATGTTTGTTAAAAGGTTGAGTACAGACGGTTACACTGTATTATTAACAAAAGAATGTTCTAAAAAAAAATAAAAATAAAAATAAAAAGAGAAGGAAGAAGAATGGTGTTGTAAATGCACTTAAAAAGTTGATTACAGTACGACTGTTCAATATGTTTATTAATAAGTAATTCAGAAGCTGAAACTGTTTAAGAGTAAGATGCTATGTTAAGACAAAGAAAATATGGACACTAAGCTAAAAGGGGGAGATGTACTGTGGGTGTGTACATAGGAACCAATGTGTATGGTAGATACCTGGTGGGACACATATTAAGGAAGGACACTCCGGGATGTATAGAATAAAGCAAGAGTCTAAACGCTACAAGTGCCTCCCGTCTTACTTAAGCTTGTATCTATGGTCAGGCATAATAGTACACCGAGAGCCTGAGGAAGTGGAGGAGCACCTATATTCCCAGACCGCTTTTACAACTGTGCCATCTGCAGTGTTCTAACTGATGGGGTTTTTGTGTGGTTCTTTAGCCCCACTTAGGCAGACCAATAGGCAGTCCAGCGGGTGGTACTCTTTCAGAGAACAGTATCATCCACACCACGGGGGAGTGCAGAACATAGCACGATGCTCATCATCTGCCCTACCCTCAGGCAGGTGGTACAGGTCCATACGGGCCTGACCATCAGAACTGTCCAACAGCCTGTGTCTTCAAAACACACCAAACTCTTGCTAGGTTGTGTATTGTCTTGTAATGTATTTTGCCTTAGGACACAATAACAGTTTGGCTCTTTACAGCCGCCCACAGGCTTTCACATGCAGGCATGGTGGCTTGTGGGGGGAATAGCTCTGTACCTGAGAGAGGCTAAAACCTCTTGTTGTGAGTGGCTCAGATATCCCTGTCCCGTTGGAAGAATATCTGCTGGAGTCTTGTAAACAAACAAGAGCAGCTGCTCAGGTAGAATGACCTGAGCGTCGCACTCCCTTTTCCTCGCCTCGTACATGCTCTGCTGTGCGGTTTTCTCCTTAAAACCCTGGGAGATAGCAGAGCTGACTGGGGCTTAGCAAGAACTGCTGGCATATCTTTGGGAAAAAATGATGTACCATTTCTGAGTGCTCCTTCTTTCAAGAAGGGTGTGCATATAGTTCTTACTCAAATATTTTGACTGAATATTTTGATTTTGATATATCAAGATGTGAACCATATCCAAGACATGATCATTGTATGGATTAACTATTATTAAATCAAAAAAGTAAAAAAAAAAAAAGAGTGTCAGAAAAACCTTAAGGAAAAAATGTTTTGTTTCTCCTGGAGGTTCCAGCTGTTACCCGCATCCTGCCACAGAGTGAGAGAATATGTTTCAGTTATTCAGCCCCACAACGTTGTTTGCCGCTGTGAGATTTCCCTAATCCGTCCTTATTTGCTTCTAATTACATATAAAGGTGTGCTGGGATAACCAGTGCTTCATACGATTGGAGGGCTCTCTTCCTCTGAAATGAAGCACTTTGGGCTTTCTGACTCACCGCTGCTACGGCAACAACACATAATTCCACCCAGCCTCCAGTGCGCCCATTATCTTCTATTGTAAATTATGGCTTTTACTATTAGCAGTTAGCAGCAATCATTGATACTGTATTTATTTAGGATACACCGGCTTTCATGCACCAAACTCACAAGGATGCACACAAACAATGCCATCTGGCCTTTTAACACACACCTTTATGCTTCCATAATCTTAATAATCCAGTGTATAACTACCATTTCCTTGTTTCCATGTCATGAAATATTAAACAGACCATCACATTGGATTTGAGATAGTGTGTAGATATATTGCATCAATCACAAGCTGTGATCTTTTATGAATAAAACATATCTTTTGTAGTTCAAGAGGTACAAACAGACCTTGCCTTGAGGATAACCACATAGAGCTGGTGGTGAGTGACAAAAAAAACTATTGAATAGTATAGTAGTATTAGGAGTAACACTTTCTGTAACCTCTCTTTCTTAAATACACTGAACAAAAACATAAAGCTATAAAACCCATCTCTATCAGACACTGTTCACAAATGTGTTTGTTTCAATCAGAACTTTGTCTTTGCTGAAACGATACATCGCACCTCAAAGATGTGGCACATTTCGTTTATTTGTTTAGAGGATAAGCCCCTAGAGCAGGGATGGGAAATTTGGATTTTTTTCCAGGAGCCACATTGGGACAGCGGTGCTTTGTGGAGAGCCGGACTGGTTTTCATTTCATTTAATTTGGGAAAACATATTTGAGTGTGAGCTACTTCTGTTAAAAACAGAAATTTGAGTATTTGATAAACACAATAGTCACAGGAGAAAAGACACAAATATTTTTTTTTCAAGCCTTTTACAACATGGGAGGTACTTTTCTTTAAATTATTTATTTAAATAATTGTATATTTTAGTTATTTTTAGATTTCAATTCTTGCTTTGAACCAAAGCTGAGCTAAAGCTAGGGAAGGCTAAGTATTGTGGACAAATGAAGGTTTGTGATGAATTATTATGAGGTACAAAATGCCATTGTTGTTCGCATGAAGTTGTAAACTTCCATTGGATACTCATCTGAATATGGGGAGACAGTATGAAGTTTATGGATTGGAAAAGATCAGAGTGAACCGGGCCGCATGTGGCCCCCAGGCCGCACATTGCCCAGGTCTGCCCTAGAGATTAAACATGAATATGCTGAATATATGTATTTTTGACCGTCCACTCTTTATGTTCAGTTTTGCCTCTCTTGAGTTGAAACACTTAATGGACATTTGAATGTACTCTTTAGTACGTAAGTAACTAATCCTCATTTGTACAGCGCATTTCACTGACCCTGGACACGCAACGCGCTTCATAATTTCCACTCTCCACACAAGGTGATGACTTACATTCAGATCTATTGTACAAGTTTTTAGGGAAACTGTAGCACCCAGAGGAAACCCACACAGACAAGGGGAGAACATGCAAACTCCAGACAGAAAAGCCTGGAGGTGGAATGAACCCAGGACCTCTCTCTCTCTCTCTCTCTTTCTTACATAAAGTACTTTGCATTTTGTTTTTGTAGATACACCAAAATGAAAACCGCCACCAACATCTACATCTTTAACCTGGCTCTGGCCGACGCCTTGGTCACCAGCACGTTGCCGTTCCAGAGCGTGAACTATCTGATGGGAACGTGGCCGTTTGGAGACGTCCTGTGTAAGATGGTGATGTCCATCGACTACTACAACATGTTTACGTCCATCTTCACCCTGACCACCATGAGCATCGACCGCTACGTCGCCGTGTGCCACCCGGTCAAAGCACTGGACTTCAGGACGCCTCGAAATGCCAAGATTGTCAACATCTGCAACTGGATTCTGTCCTCTGCTATCGGTTTGCCTGTTATGTTCAAGGCCAGGACCCTCCCCACATGTAAGTAATTAAGATTATAAATGATGATAAAACATAAATTATAAGACATCCTTTATTCGTTCCTCTGTGGGACAGTGTGTACTTTTTTAAATTATTATTATTCTTTCTTTTTTGTATATAATATTTTCCTTTGGATTATAATTGTTGCCTTGTTATGTTTTTGAATTATGACATTTTGACCAATTGAGCTCTAAAGGAAAATATTGAAAAAAAATTAAAGCCGCAAGCGGCGATGAAAGGCCTTGCCACTCTTGCAGCTGCCTCCCGGTCGTCAGTCCCATAAGCGGCATGTGGCGTACTTACCGACTAATTCGCAACCCGATAGGACCAGGATTACGCATGGAAAAGCTCATTAATAGGATTCAGTGCGCCCCTAGTGGTCACATATGGGACATGCACCCTCAGCGTAATGTAGTATTTTTCTGGTACGGATGTAAAGATTTGACTGTGCGACTTTAGTGAGGATCAGAAAAGTTTAGGTCAGAAGCCTCCCATAGGTGGCGCTCTAGAGACATATTAGGTGTGTATTTTGACACCATTACGCTCAGGCCATTACCAACTGTTACTGATGTGAGTTTCAGCTCTGTAGGTCTGAGCCTGTGGCCAAGGGTGCATCAAACATGGAGAAATTCCCCATCGCCTCGCATGAAAAGATAGAGATATAATCTAACTTCTTATTAATGATTATATAACTTCAATCCGTCCAGATGGAGAAATGACTTGGTAGAAGTCTGTAGGACTAGATGGAATTCAAAAACACAACACCTTGAACTGCCTGTAGGTGGTGCTATTGCACTCACAGTTGTGTTTTGTATATCCTTGTGTTCAGGGTCATACACTATATTTGTGAATTCATTTCTAGCTTCATCGGACAAACATTTTGCCCCAAAAAGCTGATTGAAATGTTTCAGAGCGCCCCCAGTGGTCAGGTGTAGGATTTACAACTTTTGCGTGATAAAATGTTTTGCTTGACTCGGTTCAGAGATTACACTCGATTTTTGGGCCGAGCACTGGTGCCCCATTACTTTCCGACAGGTGGCGCTAAAGAGCTCATTTTGGGCGAATGATTTTAGTGTCATTGCGTTCAGGCCATAACCTAATATTACTGATGTGAGTCTCAGCTCAGCGAAAACACCCAAAACGAAGGCCTTAGTCGCCGTGGCGAGGGACAACAAAGGTGAAACTTAAAAAAAAAGATTATTTAACTTCAATCCGTCCAGATTGGGAAATGACGTGGTAGAACTCTGTATGATGAAAAACCAGGGACTAGTACAAATCCAACAATAAAAAGTCAAATTGGCGGCGAAATTTTAGACCATCATGGCCGACTTCCTGTTGATCCCAGAACGAGGCTCCAAGAGAGTTTTAGGCTCGTCTCGAGATGTCATAGGCTTTGCTATTTTGAAATTTCCAGGTGGCGCTATCGAGTTGGAGTTAGTCGGACAATCTGGAAACGTTCATTTTATGACATTTTTTGCCAAACCGGTCGTTTTAGACTCCCCATGTACAGACATTCATACATGTCTTCAGGGTCAAAAATCTAATCCTTTTGGCAAAAATAAATAAATAAAGAAATTGGCAAATAACTATACTCCTCCCCAATACTTCGTGTTGGCTCGGCCTAAACATATATCAAAAAATAAGATCAAGAACAAAAAAACTACTAATTTTACCATAAAAAAGAATCAAGTATAACATCTCTCGCATTAGTATATTAAGGAAGCAAATCTAAAATCTCCAATTCAACCTATCTCTAGATATCAGAAGCTAAGCTAGAGAGGTGCTGGTTAGTGCTTGGATGGGAGACTGGCAATAGGAGGTACCACAGTGGGTTAAGGTTAGTCGCTCTAAAGTGCAAACTACAAAACAAGCTAAATGACTTTTAAAAATGCTATTGAAGCAACCAAATTCACTTAAAAAAGGGGTATTAGCAATTTGCAAGAAGATTAAAACAGGGCAATACCGTGAAGCAGGAGAAACATTTCCATCTCCTGTGGCGTAAATGACTTCCCTTCCTGAACAGACTGCTCCCCTGTGCAGTTCGGAGCTCTATAACTGTTTAATAAGAGTGGCTTGTGTGTGGCTGTGGTAATAGATCTGTCTGTGTGTTGTGGATGCCAGCCGTGTCACTTCAAGAAGGATTTAATTGCGACTGTTATAGACAGAAAACTGGCAGTGAAATTACTGAGGCATGATTTTTACTTTCTCTGAGGAAGAGCAATGGGAGATTACAGATCCGAATCACTGCGGTGGAGCTGGGATGGAGGCGCACGGGGACTGTTTGAAAATAATCTATTTTAAAGTAACTTTGTAGATCAATTTGAACCATGGCCTTGTGGGTAAAAGATGGATAGTTTTAGAAGTAGCTGTGTAAAGAATGAAAAATGTATTGATTTGGCTGCGGTTCATTTTCACTGCAACTCAGGCCATGTCAGCTTTTTAGTTTCTGCAAGAAAGTGAGCTGCCTGTTCTGGAGGACTTATGAATCCTGAAATCGAGCTTGATCGAGTCAATTGACTCCTCTGGCTCCAGGTTCCAGCTTTTTTTTCTGTCTTCTACCTACGACATCTCACTATGCATGTTTCTTCTCACAAATTAGTATTTGTCTAAACAGAGCACTTTATTGTTTTTAGTCCATGTTTGTTTTTAAATGCTCTTATTTCACTGTGTCTTGTTATCCTATGTACTTCAATAACAACTGTTTGTGTCTATTTGTCTGTTTGTGTTGTCTATTGTGCACGCAGGGTGCACAATGTTATGTTTTTGTCATGGTGTCGACCTTTAGGATTTGATATTCATGTATACTTTGTATTATTGATCTGTTAGTTTCATTTCCTGTTTTTGTGTGGATGGCCTGTTCCACCCTGATGTAGTTCACCAGTGTTTCGATGTCGGTGTATTTGTCCCGTGGCGTGGGTTCCTCTCTGGTTGTCAGTCCGTGGTCTTTCCCTCGCATCTTGTTTCTTTTATAACTTTGTATTTTTGTGTTGGATTTCTGGATTTTGCTTAGATTTAATTCAATTTTGAGAGACTCGAACAGGCAAAACATGGGTATTAAAAACGTTGTTTGGCAAGTAATTCGATACTCCATAAATTACATATGACACTGAGGACCGAAGGAAGGAAGGTTACATTTATTGTGCTCTACAGAATGTGTTTAGGATTTGGCGCTTAAACCCCGGCAGAGCACTGCACGAGTGCAGAAGGGGAAATATATTACGAAAGGATATCCCACGGGGACTCGAGCCTGGTGGTGGTAGCTTGGAGAAGGAGGAAGGAGCTGGCCTAGAATGAGGCAGAGATGGGGAGGAGGAGGGTTGCGGCATGAATGAAGCTGCTGCTTAGATGGAGCTTCTGCGCAATATGAAGCTGACGCGGGCGCTGCGCAGTTGAGTGTGATTGACTGATTGCTGTTGCTGTGGGCAACAGCAGGAGGACTTTGAGCGCTGTGAGCTTGGTTCTCCTTTCTTCCAGTCTGAATTTCCGCTTCATTTAAACTACACTTTCATTTTGCAGCGTTGTGCTTGATTCCTTTTCTATTTAGATTTCATGACAGTTTTTTATTTCATGTTTTTGTTTTTTTCTTTTTCAAAAAGTTTATCTTGTTCATGGAACTAAAAAACTGTGAATATAAAACAAAAACATAATCAGTGTTTGTAATGGTTGTCTCTGTTCTTGACCTGATGGGAATTGTTATTTGTCTGTTTTGAATTATGAATAATAAAATGGAAAGTTAATATTTTTTCTTTTCTTTTCCAATAGCCAAGGACAGTGTGGACTGTGCCCTGGAGTTCCCCCACCCGTCCTGGTACTGGGACACCCTGATGAAGATCTGCGTCTTCATCTTCGCCTTCATCATGCCCGTCCTCATCATCACTGTGTGCTACGGGCTCATGATCCTGCGCCTGAAGAGCGTCCGCATGCTCTCCGGCTCTCAAGTGAGCCAAAAGTGTTTGTCTCTTTCTGACACCAGCTGCATAAAGAATTTGAGGAGCACAATTAGCATAACAAGGATTTTAAAATGTCACTCGGCTTTTGGGTCTACATTTCCCTCTAAATAATGAAAAACAAAACACACAGTAGCTCAGAGGGAGAAGAATTAAGGGAATGTGGTTTGAGCCTACGGTGCAGCAACAGGTGATAGATTTGCTTTTTACCAAACCGGCTCAAGGCTGCGTTTCAATTAAATTATGCCATTATGAATGATAAATACATAGGCTCCCTTTCGGCATTTGGCATAATCTGTTTTCCTCATTACATCTTTCCCCATTAAATTTACTTTTCTCATCGTCTGAATCTGTGCTTATCTTCCAGCCATTTCTAATATATTTAGATCTCAATTAGAACAACTTTAATACTGTCAGCTCTGGTTTCACTTCTATCATGTCTATGTTTAGTGGTTTTTGAACCTTGTTTTTGATAGTCACCATGTTACAACATTCTCAAAAACATCCCTGATCCATTCATTTCTTCTGTGTAAATGCTCCTTTCTCAAACATCCGTCCGCTATGGCCAATATTTGGATGTATTTTGTCATGAACAGTCTTGAGCCGTCTGAAACAAAAGTATTTCTTCCAAGATAGTTTCAGTTGAATTTATAGATATTTTACATTATAAAACATGAAATGCCAATAGTCTCAAAGTCAATAGTCTCAAGATGGCGGGTTGTGTCTGTATGGGTTTCTTCAGGCCGCTCCGGTTTTCTCCACCACCCGAGCCACGTACCATAGTTAAATCTTCCAGCTCCAGTAGAGTCGTGACTCCTGATCAAGCCGAGCATCAACATCTGGAGATGGGTCCTTGGACAATAAAGTTTACCTCACCATCTATTTTGGGCCACATAAAACACATATAGGGGGTACATAGTAGCTTAGAGCATATAGGTCCACTGGTGTGTGTGTGTGTGTGTGTGTGTGTGTGTGTGTGTGTGTGTGTGTGTGTGTGTGTGTGTGTGTGTGTGTGTGTGTGTGTGTGTGTGTGTGTGTGAATGGGGGAATAGAGCCTTGAAAGCTTTAAGTGCCTTGTGACTATGGAAGTGTTTTACATATTCAATCTTTAGTGTTGCAATTATGATACTTCGTCTTCTTTCCAGGAGAAGGACAGGAACTTGCGTCGGATCACACGCATGGTCCTGGTGGTGGTGGCGGTCTTCATCGTTTGCTGGACTCCCATTCACATCTTTGTCATCATCACTGCTCTTGTGAACATCCCCAGCTCCACTCTGCAGTCCATCACATGGCACTTCTGCATCGCCTTAGGATACACAAACAGGTAAATGCTCAAATCCCTGCTCAGTGGTTCATAACTGAGGACAGTCACTAGAAATCTCAGAGCAGTCAATTTGACAGCTTTGTGTTTTGGAAGTGTAATTACTCCATTTATGTGCGCTTTTGGTCTTCATAACTTTGTAACTTTTTCTGTATCTATATATAGTTTAATTCTATGCAATTATGTTTCTGAAATTTATTCTAGACTGGTTCTGAGTAATCTCAGCAAGTTACCATAGCAACACACTTTTTAGAGGTATATTAACCAGTTTTGTCATGTATTTAAGATAAAAGCTACATGCATTACTTAATTTGGAAGTTGTAAAAAACAAAAAAAAACTAAAATTATCAAAATGACTGCTCTGGAAGATCTTGCCGTTTCAGAATTCTGAGAGTCCTGGTGTTACTACCACATTTAAAGTACCAAGGTTACACATATGGTTACAAGATAAACACCTGGATTGCACCAAGGACCCTCAACCATGGATCTTAAAACTGTAACTGAGCAGAGCCAAAGCGAGTTGGAGCTAGAGGGTTACTGTAGCTTCATTGAGCCCGGGGGTAAGCAGTGTCCTATATCCTGTTTACATAGACATAGAACATAAAAAACAAAAACATTGTAGTTGTTGAGGGTTGTAGATTGTGGATCTAAACTGAAGATCTTTGGAGTCTATTGTCTCTCTTGGTGAACATAGGCATTTCATGGTGAGGACTGGAAGGGGTTACATTGTTGCAGCTTTATCTTAACAACAGAGTGTGCATGTTACTTTTGATTCTCAAACACTTTGTTGCCTGTCCTTGAAAAGAGTTGTTGTTATAGCAGCCATTAAAACAGTTCTTTAAATGCAGCTGTATCCATTTATTTATTTAGCACATTAAGAGAAGTGCAATTAAATAGCCACGGAATAATATGTATAATTAGGAAGGGGGAAAAAATGTGTGGGGGTGGGAGAAGAGGCTTTTCCGTACACTGCTGCCAGAAGATAAAATACTGCAGTCACAGAGATAAAGGCACTGTTTGCATGTGTACAGTATGTGCACAGTAATTTAACATCGTAACAAATATTGTGCTAACAGCCTATGTTCTATCTAGTTTTGATCAATATAATATTAATATACTGTATATTTTTGCTGTTTACTGTCTACTACTTGGAATAAAAGGTTTGTGCCAAAAGAAATAGGTCAAAAGAATACATGCATGTGAAAACTAGTGATAGAATGAAACCATGATGGATTTTATTTAATGGTTTTGTTTTTTTGGGGCTGCCCCTGTCTCAATGTACTGTTTACCTTTGATGTCCACAGCAGTCTGAATCCAGTGCTCTATGGATACCTCGACGAGAACTTCAAGAGGTGTTTCCGAGAGTTTTGCACTCCCAGTCCGTCTGTGCTGGAGATGCAGAACTCCTCCCGCACTGGAGCAAACAGCCGCAAGATCCCCCAGCGCGATCACCACACCGCCAACACCGGGGACAGGTCCAATCAGCAGGTATCATCAAAAATAACAAGTTTACTGTATGTCATGGGCCACAATGCACCTCGCCCATTACCTGATTGTGGGCCCAAAAATGTAACAAAAGGCAATAGTATTTTATTCACAATGATTGGTATCCAGAATGGTATCCACAGCAACATACTAAGCATCCTGTTGTATCGTGGTCGGGCAAATAGGTTACATTGAATCAGTTCGAGATTGCCTCCCACTGCCTCCCCATGTCCTGATTCTGTCATTGTATAAAGTCTAAACGTCAAGCCTTTAACAGTTGGGTTAAACATTTTAAATTGGTTAAACATTTAAACCCAACAGTTCCACCGCGCTAATGAGTGTTAACAATTTCAAAAGTTGTCTGAATAAATGAGTTTTGAGCCTCAATTTTAAAAAGCCAAAATCAGTGAGCCCTTGAATATCTGGGGGCGGCTTGTTCCAGAGTCCATCAACTGAGAAGGACCGATCACACCAATGTTTGGACCTGGTACTTCCAGGTGGAAACACACCTGGGTGTGTTTGTAAAAAAGCGAGCTGTAGCATTTTGCACCAACCATTAAAGCAAGACTGGGGAACTCCAAAATAAAGGGCAATTTCCAAAATGATGGCAATCTCGCAGGAATTGCCTGGGACACCAATGAGGTCCCCTTATAAAGTTCTGCAAGCTGCATCATCCTCCACACCGGGTCTCTGACCGGAGGAGCTGCCCAGTGTCAGGAAGAGATCAGGCAGCTAAGTAATAACTAAATCAAACAAAATTATGTCATAATCAAACTCACCAGATCAACACTTGGAAAGTGAGTTATATAAGGAGAGTACTCAGGAGGTCAGCTCACACAGAGAGGAAGGCGGCGGCACTGATTTTAACCCAAATTAACCCAACCTGTGACCCAACCATGCTGCGATTAACGCACAGAAAGTGCTGCAGCTGTGAGCTCAGCTGTCAGTTTCATCCTCTGCGCCTTTTACACTCAGGCTGCGGCTGAAGCCGGTCTCATCACTTCTGCAAATGTAACTGCTGCTCTGTGTGTTCTGACAGCGCATCCTCAGTGGAAAGAACAGAGGACCGAGTGTGCACGGTCAAATAGACAGTGGGAAATGATATGTGAACGTTTCTGACATTTATAATATTAGCCACACTACACAAGAAGGTATGTGTACTTTGTACCATCTACAGTACTTCTAAACTGATTATTTCAGTATTTCTTTCTTTCCTGCAAATTGAATGCAAATAAAGTGTTGTGGTCATGAATTACATCTGAATGGTAAACACCCATATCCAAGCTAGATCAATGGTTAAAATGGTGAAAGTGGATCTTGGTTTGATAAAGTGTGGGCACCCCTGTTCTATACACTGTAAAAAGCAATAACAAAAGCAGAGATTGAGTAGTCAATATTGTTTTTAGAGGGGGATTAATATAAGGTTTTTGCTTCATCCAATCCCTTTTCAAACAGGGAAATATGTGTGATTGATCGTAAGACATTATTGCGATTAATCACGATTAAATATTTGAATCATTTGACAGCACTAGTTATTATTTGTGTGATTCCCTCAGGTATGACTAGCCTTGGAGGGGTCGTCAGTGGACACCCGCTGCTGCAGTGGAGCTGCTGCGACCCCCGATGACCACTCCGAGATCACCCAGGTCACAACAGGGCTCTGAACGAGGAAAACTATTACTGCTGAGAGATGTGGCGTCAGACCCTGAGCACCAGGGCGAACCGGCAGCACAGAAAGACCACAAATGCAAACACTATTTTTCTTCAGCTTGGGATGAATATTTAAAATGCATCAAAGCAGATTTCTCACACAAAGTAGTGGATTGTTGAACTAATAGAATCCGCCCTCACTGCTGGCCTTGAGTGGGTCTTAGACGAGGCTTCTTTTGACGCTCCCAGCTTGAACTTTATTACAATTACAAAAGAAGCTTGATTATTTATTGTTTTTAAGCAATTCTTTATTTGCTCTTGTTATATGAATGTACAAATGAAAGTAGTGTGAAATCTGTGGTTTGGAAATGTACAGTATATATGTACAGATAGATAAATAATGTATTCATTTCAATGGAACCGCACTTCAAATCCTCCTGATGGGTTGGTGAAAACACATTAGATCACAATAGATGTAAGTCATGGTTAAGTTAATGTTCTGGTAACAGAAGAGAATAACTATTGGACTACATGATTATACTCTTCTCTCATATTCCTTTGTATGTGACAAACCAACAAATACACCAAGCAGCCATAACATTATGACCACCTGCCAACGCAAATCTGAAGGTGTAAATTTACTCTTTTACTGTATGTTATTGTAACTTCAAAACAGAAGACTTAGATATTTTGTTAGACTATTTTGAATCTACATATATTGTCTTTAAACCATTCGATGTTGCTTTTAGCCCTGTGTAAATGCTTTTAATACTGACTATGGGGGATGGAACTATGGCTGTAGATTCTCCTGACAATGACAGTTGTCTGAATGTATACAATGGATTTACCAAGACTTTTCTCGAGCAGAAAAACATCTGGACTGTTTGCTTGATGGACATGTTGAGTAGATGATTAGGGCCATTACACTGGTTCAAAGGGACTGTCGTCGCAGGTGAGTCCACCCACATTGCATGGTACTGTCATTCTGTGGGTAACTGTGGCATCGTGCTTACATGAGCTTATGTATATTACTATTGGCTTTCGCTCTACTGTCACTGGATATTGTATTTATAAAAGTGCTGTAAAAAGAAACCAAGATTGTATTTGAACTTTACATTTGAATGCCACTGTCATTTTCCATAGGGTTCAGCCAACAGTTGTTGCGCTGTATACCTTTTATGTCTTGTTGATTATATGTGAAAAAGCCAATATGTGTAAGTTTTAGTCAAATTAAACATAACTGAAACTAAAGCAGTGTGTTTCTTTTTATGCAGTCAGTGATATGAAAGGTTTGGTAAAGTGAATGTGTGTGTGTTATATTTTGACATTAGCTCTGTGGTTTTATTTTAGTATTACTGTTCTATTAGACTCTCAGATGGAGCAGCCTGAATAGTGTGCAGGTCATATATTCAAACTCACATGTAGAGAGTTGTCAAGCTCCATATTTTCAAACTTTTCTATCCAAGGAACTGCCTCAAAATAAGTATTCAGTGTCCAGACCCTCCCTGCTAAGACTAACAGCATAAGCAATTGTTTTTCTGTGCATTGACTGCTTTTTACAATATTGTTCCTGATGTAATGTAATTTACCCGGCTTAATGGACCTTCTCTGACTGGGTGGAGGTTCCAGCACATTTTGTAAAAGGTAAGGTTAATACTGGCTGATGGCCTCTTGTGCTCCATTCCAGTGCCAACAGTGTGTGAAATTACCTACTTAGCTTGATAACTTAGCGGGAGTAAAGTAGAAAGGGAAGCACCATGTTCAAATGTGATGTAAAATATACAAGATTCCATTGCTTGTTTCTTGTGCAGTCAGTATTTGAAGGGACAATGGGACAATGCCCAAAGACAGAGATGTTCTGCACCAGATTAGAACTAAAGAGCTAGTTTCCATCTGCAGCACTTTGCAATGGCAGCTCCGAAAGACACGATTTATAACAAAGTGACCATGACATCTATTGTAGCCCTCCAAGGACATCATTCATGACCAGCCATTGTTACGAGAAGGAGGTTATCGTCTATAAATCCCCTGCAGTTAATTTATTTCCAGAAGTGAAGAATTACTTTGAAGTAGTATTAATAAATAATGAATACAATTAAAAGATACTTTCACTGATGGCATATCTTGCATACCTTGAATTCAAGGTACAAGGTACAAATACATTTAATTCATTCATTTCATTTTCTTTTATTCATTTATTTCAGGCAATGGAAAAGATAAGTACAGGGTATATATTTATGTCATATAGTGCAAAAAGATAAGGACAGAAAGTTAATGTACACTGTATAATGCATGTAAACATGCCTGAAAGGGAGTGGGAAGAGCATAACTCATTTAGTCCCACCCCAATTCCCCAATCAGTGATTGATGAGTTAAGTGTCACAACAATTTTATACAAGGATTTCACAGTGTAATATGATGGTGTGTTACCACAGGTAACAACCATTTATACCAAAAATATCAGGAGTAAACAATACCAGTAAAGGAAAATGAACAATATACCAACAATGATAAAATACATAATAATGCATCGGTTTTATATCACATGTCATTATTCATTTACTCCATACACAGTGGTGATAAACCGCCGGCCCACTGACAGAAGCGAGCAAACCAGTATGTGCCATCAGCCCCTCCAATCACCAACCAGACTCATTCTAGGTAATGGGGGTCAAAGGTCGAACCCACAACCTTCAGGCTCAAAGGCCAATGCTCTACCAACTGAGCCACTGTTGCCCCATGTAACTCAGTTGGTATTAGAATCAGAATCAGAATCAGAATCATTTTTATTGCCACGTAAGTAACAAACAAAAGTTACCACTTGGAAATTGTTTTGGCAGAGAGCGTGCCACTTTGCGGCGCTATGTGCAAGCAAGAAACAGCAGAGAGCGATAACACACGGTTTCACAGACATTAGTATTAGGATGCCTATATCCATCCATTATCCATTGTTCTCTTTACCCAGAGGTGTTAACTGCTGCCCTGTCCTCTCTGCTCCAGGACCAGGGGGAGCCCTGTGTCCTACTGTACAGAGAGTGAAAGCCAGACTCTCGTTCACTGAGGGGAAAAAGCCTTCAGTGTAAGGGGGATGGGGATACTTTTATACTGAATGAGCCTTGTATAAGATCATCTTATTTGTGAAGATAATTCAATGTCACCACAAACTTTACAGAAAGCAACAACACTTTTATCATACCGTGGGCGGCACGGTGGCTGAGTGGATAGCACTCTCGCCTCTCAGCAAGAAGGTCCTGGGTTCGAATCCCGGTCGGACCAGGGCCTTTCTGAGTGGAGTTTGCATGTTCTCCCCGTGTCTGCGTAGGTTTCCTCCGGGTGCTCCGGTTTCCCCTACCACTAAAAATATGTCCAATAGTTCTGGCATGCGCCTCCTGTACTGGCGACCCCGCTCCCATCTCTGTGTGGAGTGAGAGACAAATGCCCAAAAATTAACAATTGTAAACCGCTTTGAGACTCAGATCTGCAGTGAAAAGGCGGTATATAAATAAAAACTTACTTACTTACTTACTTACTACATATGACAAGGAATGATAAAACGCTGTTACATTTTGGAATGAGGCGGTCGGGCTTCGCTGGAAAAGCTCATTTGCATGAAAGATACTTCTGAAGGAAACCTGGGGTTATGAAGCTGGCGGCAGCGGGGCGTACGTGCAGTTCAGCTGTGATCCAACGTGCTGTCAGGGAGAGGAGGCTTTTCTGATTGAAGCCGACAGAGTGATAGGTCTTGTCATAGTAATTATTATCAAGCACCACTCGATTTACATTCCCCCACTGAGATAAATATTGTGAGGGAAAAACCTGTACAAGTCTGAATGAATCATATGCATAATATTAATACTTCTTTCTGTGGGAAGGTGCAGTTTTGGTATATGCTCAAATATTCAAATTGTTCATATTGCTGCTGTATGGAGAGAAGTGGCTGTAAATAACTTGTGTGTGTGTTGTCCCACAGCAGTGTACAACAACATTCATGAGGTAAAACCAGAGAACAGCAGAGGCTTTAGCCAACGCTAAAGGACTTCTTGATACAAATGTGACTAATTAATTTGAACATTTTGCATACATACTATGTTTTATTTATCTTTTTTGGTAACATTTTATTTTGCTTAAAGTGAAAGTGATTTACTTTTAAGAGGAAACTTAGTGAGGACAAACACTGCCTCCTTATTGGTTGAAATTAAATTCAAATCCTTGAGGCTCCTCTTTATTGGTGTCATTGTTTTCCTCCAACAAATCTTATTGGTTGTGGTTCTGCCAAGGGAAGGGGCTAATAAATGTATTACTGTTGAAGAATACTTACTGTACATAATAGTGTACATAATTGTGCAGTGTCCCTGAAATGCCCCCACTGTGGGACAAATAAAGGATCTCTAAATCTTATTCTTAGTCAGACAGGTACATTCGTCTGAAAATTAAATGCAATTTAAGTTGTTAACATCACCTTTAAAACAAGAAGTTTTGTTTGTAATATCAAGGAAAGGTAGCAGTGCAGTGACAGGCAGAGAGCGATATCAGAGAAACATTCAGTCAATTTTGCTGTGATGGTGCCCAGAGGTGTCTGTGATCCCGACATGGTGCCTGCAGAAAAATACTGTATAATAAAACTCAGAACAAAAACAAAAGAAAAGGACAAAAGTGAAGTGAACTTAACACCACTGTTTCCCTGAAGCTTTGGAACTAAATAATCAGTTCTGTCTTGTGCAGCAGTGTTTACCTCGGGCTATTTCACACATAAATGAAATGGAATTCGCCCGTCATCCTCTTTCCACAAGCCGATTCTGCTGGCTTCAAAGAAATATTATAGGTTGCAATATGGAGGACGTCGTCATGGATACTGAATTAGCTTTTTGAAATGTAAATGTTTTATTCCATTTTTTTTATTATGTAACATTATATTAACAAAAGACCTAACAAATCAATGTTTAGGATTGTTATTCAAAGTTACTGTTTTGGACCTGGTTTTATGGATATGCAAGAGGTGGTGTGGATTCTGAATTGAAAAAATAAAATGTAGTCTGTAACTATAATAATCTTCAAAAGATATAGACAAGCTGTTTTGGGCCTTAGGCAACACATAATATATGATTCAACATTTCATAAAGTGATGTTTTTCATTGATCTTCAATATTAAATACGTTACATACCCATTTTCCAACTTGTAAAGGCTGAGTGACTGTACTTGGACCATGTGGCGCATGTCCAGCTTGCATGATGCTACCCTGGTTCAGTGCATTTTGCAGGTGAACAAAAGGGAAAGCATGTAACGTCTGATCACATGATTCTCTTACTTTAATGGTTACTTTATTTACACAGATACAAACATATTTTCTTGAGATCAGTAATAAGAATCTCAAAAAAGATAAAGGCTCCAGTTACAGCCCCTCCCCCTTTAAAATGTAGGTCTTAAGATCTACTAAGTTATTAGGCAGCGTACTCCAGCCTTTCATGATAAACAGGTTTAATAAAGTCAATGTATTGTAGCCTCTGACAACATGGATAATCAGAGCAGAAGCTTCCGCCACAGATCCCATCTGATATGTTCGTTGTGTAAAATGCACTTTGAAAATAAATGTTTCACCTTATTCTATGTTCACGCTGCTGAGTGTTATCCACCGCACACATGCTTAATGCAAATAAAAGCAGTTGTTGTCTTGTACATCTGAGTATTCAGATGTACATATATGATTTATTTTCTTTGACTTAAATCATGCTGTAAGTTATCTTTTTCTTAATTTAGCAAAACGTTATGAGTCATAATTTAAAAGATCTATGCAGTTTCAAACAAATAAACATTCCGGTAACTTTAAAGTGAAGGACATTGCAAGATAAACACAAACATGTTGGTTACAGTCAGTGCAGAATCCTGCGGACGTCAAGTCAAAATGAGGAAGATGTGAGTGAAGAATCCGGGCTCAGCACTGTTGCTTCTGCTGGGCCGATCAGTCCCAGTGCCCATACAGGACATTTCCAGGCCAACAAAGCAGCTATCTGGCTGTTCCCTGGACACAGTGCAGCAGGTGGCGGACAGGAGGGTCCTGGACGACTAATTTGACTAATTTGGTCTTGCAGGACACTCTCTCTGCTCTGGAGAGCAGCTTCAGTGACAGACTAATTCACCCTCACTGTGTGAAGGTTCCGTAGGTCTTTCCTTCCTGCTGCTGTCAGACTGTACAATAAGATCTGCTGAGTCTGCAAATGTCATTCATCTGTAAATTAGTAAATACTAAATCATGTGCAATGTGCAATACTGCTCCTTCAGAATGTCACTGAACAATGTCACATTACTTATCTACTTCTTATCCTGAACTATATGTACAGTATATAACTCTGCACTACTACATATATATTTTTTATTTTGAAAGACTGGTATCGAAGCCTTTATAGCATTTACAAATAGTTAAGTAATATAGCTACTACTTTTTTGTGTATTTTGTGCTCCCTGTTTGCTCTTACTACTGTCCTGTCTGTGCGCCGCAACATCGAAATTTCCCCACTGTGGGACGAATAAAGGAACTCTTATCTTATCTTATTTCTCCTCCAGACAATCACTGAGTGCCTCAGTTTGTCAAGGGACCAACCAGGTGTCCCACTGTAACAACCCAGGACTCTATTCACTTCCCTGTCCTGAAACCCCAAGACTGCTTCTTCACTGGGCACTTCTAAATCACTTTATTGCTGACTCCAGTTTTACAACACCATCACTCAGAAAGGAGTGTGAGGGCACCCTGGCTCTTCAGCAGGGCAATATTCCCATCCATCCACCTGGTTTCATTACCTTTTCTCCTTTAAGTGCTTGGCATTGCACCTCACCCTCTAAATTGAGCTGAAATATTGCCGATCCATGTTTGATAGTAGAACCCAGGGGATTATTGTGAGAATCCAGATTGTTTTTTTATTTGAGGTAAGATCAGGTTTACTTTTAGTGAACTCAGCAATTTCTGTCTCTGAAAAGAGTAAAACAACTCTGACCAGGACCAGGCGAGTTCTGGTTTAGAGAACGGGATCAGGGGAGGTCTGGTCTAGAGTCTGGTCTAGAGTCAGGAACACCGATATAGACCTATCGCCCGTGAGCTCACTGACATGTGGAAACCTTTTCTCAAACCATTTGGTCAGAAAGTCACACACACATTTAATTGGTTTGGTTGCCAAATTATACAACATGATAAAGAATAATCACAAGAGAGATTGGGGTGAGGTGTCGCTCTTCAGGCTGTTAACTCCTGTTAAGGAGAACTTACACAATGTTGGACTCTTATAAAGTGTGCTTTGTGCATGTGGCCTTTAGAGACACTGACTGGAGCCTGGGCTCACATCATGCACATTATATCCTGGAAAGTGTAACAACTTATTGCATGCAAACAATTTCAACAACTCCTGTGTGCTCTCTTAGGATCACACAGACTTTTATGTTCAGCAGCAGTAGTCTCAGATAGAGATTCTGGGGAGTATAATGATAATCTTATTAAACTTCTGGATTTGACATTTTCATGTTAGTTCAAAATGAAGATAGGTTGCATATTTATGTAAACACAAAACGATTTGTTTTGTTCAAATGCCAAGCAATAATCCCTTGTTTTTTCTTACTGTGTCTCTGTATAAACAGTCAAAAACGGAAGTTTACAGACACTATTCTCCATTGTCTGAAAAAAAAATACTATTATTGACAACAATATCACATTATAAGGATTTTAAATTTTTTCAAGTTATAAGTTTACAAAAATGTTGTAGGTTTGATAGAATTTCTTTTGAACTGTTTGACTTGGATCCAAGTCAAAAAGGGTGTACCTCCACAAGCCTCTCACTATAGTACACACTGTGGCTTGAATTCTGGCCCACTCTGAAAACAGATTAAATTGTGAATGTGTTTGTGAGAACACATTCTGAGCTGAGGTCATGCCAATGGGCAGAGTGCGATCCCTTATCATTGTGCTTCTCAGCTTCGCTCTGTTATAGAGCAAGTCCACTATAATGGAATGGCTTTTATGGTGCACAGAGAGCACCCCTTATATACATTCAAGTTTTATCATACCCCCCTGTACGCTGCCCTTATATATATATATATATATGTGTGTGTGTGTGTGTGTGTGTGTGTGTGTGTGTGTGTGTGTGTGTGTGTGTATATAGTAATATATATATTCAAATATAATTGGAAATTTTAATAAACGGTAATAAACTGGCATTGACTGTCAGACCAATGCTTTGGAAATCTGACGATCCATTGTGAACAATAGCGGCTGAAAAAGATATAATCTTGGCAGAGCATCAAGCTGATGGGAATCCACATGAATCACAAAGACTTGTTGCATATCTGAATATTACAACACGGCATAACAACAAAAACATATTAGTGACAAAAGCAGTCAACATGGCACTGAAATGCCGTACTCCATGAGCGCATAGTACAGTACATGGTCTTCAATGAAACAGGGTGCTTTTGTCGAAGGACTGTCCAACTAGATACTTATGTGTGATATTTCAGGATTTATTTTTGTCATTAATAGTACCAAAAAAACACTTAATTATGTGGTAAGCCTATATGATGTGGAATATTAAAAACATACATTGTTTTCATCTAACAAAAAAAGGTCAGAAATGTTACTGACAACTTACTGAGGGAAATTCCAAGTAAAGCACTTTATCAGCATTATGCGCCTGGAAGTAGTAGCAATAGCAGTAGTAATATTATTATCATATTTATTAGGACATTTTTCACTCGGAACTACCGATTATACAACTTTTGCCTCGCCCGGACATTTCACGTGAACACACCAGGACTCTCGCACCGTGAACGGTGAGAACATCAAGACCAGGCTGTTTGGAAAAATACCACTATTGTGTGAGATGTGAGTATGTTTTAAACGCTTATGAGGAGCTGAAAATAATAAACGTGTGCATTGAAATGTGTTTAGTCTCATCTCGGTTCTCCCAAATCCTCCGCTAGCCGTTGAATTCTTCTAGTTTAGCTACATGCTACACGCTACATGCTACACGCTACATGCTAATGCTGACCAAGGAGCGAACTCTTCACCTCTGAAACTGAACAAAACGCGTTATTCGCCCCGTGGTTCTTTTAACAAACGTATGCTCAGTTAGCACATATTTACTATGAACACCATGGATAATACTTGGTGTGGTAATTGTGTCGTGATACACGACATTGGTTCTTGCTTTTGTTTTGTAAAGTGGCCAAACAACAACAGAACTAATGTTGTACTTGTGTTTTTACAACAGCCTGACCCCAGTCTACAATGACCGACCGCTACAACATCCACAGTCAGCTGGAGCACCTCCAGTCCAAATACATCGGTACTGGACATGCAGACACCAGCAAGTGGGAATGGCTTGTGAACCAGCACAGAGACTCTTACTGCTCATATATGGGACACTTTGACCTCCTCAACTACTTCTCTGTGGCTGAGAATGAGACCAAGGCTCGGGTGCGTTTCAACCTGATGGAGAAGATGCTTCAGCCGTGTGGACCACCAGCAGACAAACCTGACGATGCCTAGTTTTTTATTTTTTCCATTGTTTTTTTTTGTTGTTATTGACAATTCCTCAAATTTGATCTGGTTCAACCGATTCATGACTAAACTACTTTGAAATATGTTAAAGCACACCTGTGCATCTTTTGTATACATTTGTGTCTAAATGACGTCCTGAAATAAAGATGTTTTTACTGCAAATATTAATTGTTTTATGGTTTCTACTGGAAATCTAATCAAAATATTGAGTAGATATTTTACCATTCATTTTATTGTAATTTGTGTACGCTGTTGCTTTAAACGCATTACTAAATCCTTTAAATCCAAAGCGAGTTTGTAATTTAGGCATTGAGTAATGAGTTGTATTTATATTTATTCAATGTTTAACTTTTCTTTAGTTCTAGTTTCTCTTTTTCTTTCTAAATTCTAATGAGCCTGCATATGGAAGGATTATTTTTACCTTTGCTCAGATATATTAATGCATACAAAACTGAAATGAGTGACTAAAAGTAATGCACATTATAGAGCTCACAAGGCAGATGTAAATACCCTTTGCTCAAAACCAAACCAATAAACATACACATGTAGACATTCCTGTTTTGGATTAGAACGGAAATTTAGAATGGGATGATTCTGAATTATCCATGCGTGGAAACCTCAAACCTGTTAGTGTGAGTAACGACTGCATTAGAAACATTTTCTTGTTTATAACAGTGATGGAAAATTCCCATCTCAAGTGATGAATTAAAAGGCACGGCTCCCTGCATACACTTTTGATGAAGGATGCACGGACTCGCTGTTGGAATGAGATGGGGCCATGGCGTCCAATGTGCTCACTCATGCATGTGTGTTTGGCAGGTTCCTCGTGGGGTAAGACCTTCCCATCTGTTACCACTGAGAGGCTGGAGCAGCATTGCCGAGTGGGATCTTGTTGAGTCAATGCACAAACTAATCGGAAAAATAAGGAGATATTAGAATAAACTAGTGTTTACAAAATTTACAATCACAGACTAAATGAATCTAAATCTTATTGATCATGTATAATTGCATGTTTCATACTGTCGAGGAATTTGAATAGATGTTCTCTGATCACCTGTCTAATTCGAATTACCCTCTGGGGAAGAGCACTTCTCTTTTAAGATTAACGTTTCTGTGCACTGCCACTGTCATATAAACAGCTTAATGATAATACTAATCATGATATATATTTTTGACAACAACAAAATCAGGAAATTAAAGAGAAAACTACAACATGATATTGACCTAGCCTTTTGTGGATTCCACCAGGAGTGGAATCTAATATCAGTATGACTGCTTTTCTGAAAACAACTGAATAAAGGCATTCATCATTCTACGTTCGCTTCTTATTTGTCTTACTTTGTGTTGTTCTTCAAATAACTTCAAATGTGAGAATAGCATTTCAAGGCACTGTATACTGAGAATACTTTTGAAATTGATAAACACAATTCTTTCCACAGTAGCATTGAAGCCACAATTTGCAAATGCACTGAAGGTGATAATCAATATCAACTCCGACTTACTGTTAAACAAAAGTCTTGTGTTGTGCCTGTTTCAGATGCATGCCAACATTTTGAAGACAACAGAAAAAACATGATTTAGTGATGACTCATCAAGGACATGTGGCTCAAGTCTGCTCTGGATCCATTTACCCTGTCACTTAACTGCCCTGCACCAGAGGCTGGAGGTCACCACAGAAGAATGTTAGCTTAGTTCTTTTTGCCTAAAATCTTCAATTGGCATTAATCCTCAAAGGCAATGTCAGTATGGTAATTTCAGAGAGAAAGAAACACAGAATCACATAAAAAGTTTTACCTTTTATGTACAAAATCTTTTCAGTTTTTCAGCTGTAACAGTTTTGCAGATATACAGTACAGTACAACTACAATAATAGGCAACGTGTTGCAAATGGTCCAGTTCTGATAGAACACATACATTTAAATTCCATATGAAATTCACCCCATCAAAAATCAAAACACGTTTACATTAGTTGAACATACTGTAAAAACAGCAGATTATGGCTCTTGGCTAGAATAGTTTGGAAAGTAAAGAAGAAAGGCTCAAGCACCAAGACATTTGTAAACATTTTCACAAATTGGTTCATTCAATATTGATCCTTATGAAGATGGAATGCCTTGATTTTAATATGATATATTACCATTCCATTTCTGAATCGACAATATTGGAATTGAAATTGTATATATAGTTCTATTGTTTCATATTGTACAGTGTGTTTTCTTGAGCAGATGAATCCTCATAGAAGGTTATGTTCATGAGAACGACACGGAAATCAAAGCAACATTGATTTCATGGTCTGCGTGTGCTTGACACATCTTTACTCATCTTCACAAAATAATCAATTAAATATAGCATAAGCATAAACTCGTTTAAATACTGCTTCTGTTAAAGACTGTACATTGCAGCTCCGCACATTCATCCGCCCACTCAATCATGTTTTTCCATAGTGACATCAAGGGGCTGTTATCAAAAGCCAAGTGCATCCGCTCTCGCGGTGGGTCACTTTTGCCTTCACTGGTGCAGATCTGTGGAGCTTATCTAACAAGGACGTGTATAATAAAAATACATCATTACATCATCAATCAGTTAACTATGTTATTCTATTAAGTCTTGCACTTTAGAACAGAGAGCCATAAAAGATTTTATTTTTCAATCAACAAATAAAGTCGGAACCGTGGCTTGGTCTACCTCGTCTGTCCACCCACCTAAAGTCAATCGAATGAAACGACGAGCTACTTCAGCAAAAGGTTTGGACCATGATGGAGCCAGGTGCATTGTTGTCCCTGAACATGTATGGGTTTTGTTGAACCCTGTTGTGTCCATTCAAATTCAAAGGCAATATTGATCAAACAGAGTGTCTCTTTAGTATCTACTGACAAGGCGAAGAGGAAAGTGACCCTAAGACATCAATAACTAAAGCGATGACCAGAAGCTGTGATCATTTCAATAAACCGGGGTAATATATCAATTATTCTAGTGTAAATGATGCGACAAACTGAGATGTAACTCTAACTCTAGTACAAACTGTATTTGGCCCCAAGTTATTTATGTCTGGACATTAAACTGTGCATAACATAAAATAATGGATAAGCTTATAATGTGACCTTACATTACAGTATGTTTACAGAACAAATCAAATATTTGTTTTTGCCAAAGCATTTGGAGGTAAAGATAAGGCTCCTACATTAACGCTGACTATGAGGAAGAAAAAGAGTGAATAGAGAATCCTTGTGATATATTGCCCTCTAGCGGCGGCACACGGTCATTATGCTTAACAGCAGAAGCTCACTTCACCAGAGGCACGTGCGGCCAAATGTCCAATACACCCAGGAGATTGTCCATGTGTGGCATTTCGGCAGCGACTCAAAGCACAAACTCCCACTGCATCCAAAACTTGATTGAAATAAAACAAGTTAAAAAAGTAATTATAAATTATTACAGGCAGCTTTTGGCCATTCAAAATAAATACTTGGAGTCCTTCACAAGGCATGAGATATGTGCAAATGTTTATCTGAGAAAAACGAAGAGGTTCGGAGCAAAGCAGGAGCAGACACAGCACCTCACGGCCGATGGAATCTGAAAACAGACAAAAGTGACATTGACATTTCCAATTTGGAAAGTGCTGCTGTGCTGCTGCTGCGTGCAATCCGAGCATCCACTGAATGAAACAATGCAGTTCAACAAATATTTTGCAATCCGTGCCAAAATTATTACGCTAAAATTTGCCCATAGACTTTTTAGAACATTACCATTTAAAACAGTGTTGTGGCCATATGCTCAATTATGTGTTTAATTATTGCAGAATCATTTTAAATCCATTGATTCTAAAAAAAAATGTCAGTTTTTTTCACCAACAAAAGTATTAAGTTATAGCAACTCTCCCGAATGTTTGGACTTATGAGGAACTTAATTGAAATTTGTATTTTCTCAAATTGTGGATAGGGCTAATATTACATTCATACTGATCAAACAGAGGCTAATAAACCATTGTTTCGTAAGTGTTGAATCATTACCTGGTGAACTGTTTACTGTCCTCATGAACCTCCATCTCTCGACTCTTAAACTCATTGAGCTCCTTACGAATAGCAGCCTGAAGGCACAAAGTCAACTGTAAGGCACAGTGGCATTGTGGGTGGTACACAGATGATGAATCATACCTTATCAGCAGGAGTGAGCCGTGTCCAGGGCTTGTCCGCGCGACGGTCGTAGTTGCTGGCATCTGTGACCTCCACGTACTCATTAAAACACAAGATCCTGCGAGCAACTAGTTCTGCTACAGTCGGCCTCACACTCAGCTAGGAGAAAATATGTATCTTAATATGCATTCAAACAAAGCATGAAGTATTCTACTGGATGAGCACATTTACTGTTGATAGAAGAACACTAGTGCATGTTCATTTCATTGAATTGAAATGTTAGTTAAACGTATTATTGCCTTTTTGCCAGAAAAAAACAATCATTTGTTTGACTTGGTGAAATATCTTAAAAGAGCCCTGTGTCCAGTAGATGGCGTTGTTCCACTACACAGAGCAAACTGGTCCTGCACTATGACTCATGAGGTGGAGAGAGGCATATTATCTGGATCTAAATATAGCCTGCTGCTTCTTCCTGCTCTGGGGCTTGTACCTTTCTGGATAGTCGTCTTTTAATCTCCTGTTTGGCTTCTTGTTCCTCTACTTCATTTTTCTCTGCAAAAAAACAAATGGTATTTTACTCACTGTCCCATAAGCATCACGGAGGCTGCATGTGTATAACGGTGACGTGACGTGACAGACCCACATCAGAGCAACTTGAACTTACGTTTGAGGATGTTCCTCTGTTCCAGCTCCTCTGTGGTGGGTCTTTGGCTTAAACGCCTGCAAAAGTTGGAAGTAAAAAAGTGTCAAAGATTATTCTGGAACTGCTCATCCAGTCTGGCAGAAAAGAGCTCCCGATAGGTCAGCTGTATTTGTACCTGACGAGTTTGGAGCCGATCTGTTGGCGCAGCTCCTGCCGCTCTGTCTCTGAGCTCCGAGGAAGAATGTTTTTCTCCTCCAGCTCCCTTTTACTTGGGCGGTTTCCAAGTTTAATATTCAGAGTGTCTCGCCTCCGAATCTTCTTGGCCAATGCGCCTTCAAAAGATGGGTGAGTGTTTAACAGACGGTGCTGAGTTGGTTCATGTCTAAATGTTACAATAAGGACATACTGTTTGTGTACTCGTCTTCCTCTTCGTCCTCTTCGTCGTCCCGGTACAGGATCGGACCGTCCGAGTCCGAGTCACTGGTCTGACTCCGGGGCCGGTCTGGGATCTCTGTCACCTCCAGTTGCTCCGTGTTGACGCTGAGGCCGGACGGCTTCTCACACTGAGCCTCTGCCGACCTAATGACAAAAACACAAACACCAGGAAATTATGATACATTCAGTGATAACTGTTTACGGCTTCATTTGAGATGTAACTTTAATAATACATGGTTTTTTTGGGCCCTACAAGGCTGCTTCACATGTTATTTATTATTCATTCACTCCATACACAGCATAGCCACAGCTGCCCCGGGGACCACTTCAACCACTGTTTCATCAGTGCCGAGGTGTCTTGCCGAGGGACACAATTATATAAGTTTGGCACTTTAAAGCTTCAGCAGCTCAACATTATATGGCTTTTATTCGCCTTTGTCCACTTGTTACCGTCTGGGATGAAAAACAGCAAAGGTTAAGAGAGATCATTATCATGATTATTATTGTAATAATTGAAATCACAATTATTCAAATGAGTATTTGTTTTTTCTTCCAAAGTAACAAAGCTTAACACACAAATATATATTATGTTCAATTTGTAAATAAAAAATAATTTATTTTAATGCAAACTATGGTGCCATGTGAGAAATACTGGTATATACTTATAAAGTGCCATAGAAATGTAGCATTTGTTAATGTATAGCATGTACACAGTATGAGGAGGTGTAGGTACCGTGGGCTCTGCCCTGAGGGCTCCTCGGGCCTCTCCTCGGGCCTCTCCTCGGGCCTCTCCTCGGGCCTCTCCTCGGGCCGTGTGTCTGGCCGTGTGTCTGGCCTCTCCTCTGACTCTGGCTGCTCCGTGAAGGACGTGTCCTCAGTCTCCGGGTTCACGTACGGAGCCGGAGCAGAGGCTTCCACCACCGGCTCCTGTGTCTCCTCTGCCTTGGGGGCAGTCTGTGCAGGTCTAGGGGACACTTTAGAGTCTTTTCCCTCTGAACTTCTGGACAAAGTGGATTTTAGATCAGATGGTTTGGAGTCTGCCTTTTGCCCCTGTTTTTTGTGAGGTCTAGAGGAAGTGTCAGGTTTATGGTTTGACTTTGCGTCTGATCCAGAAGTGCGCACAGCAGGTACTAAATCCTTAGAACGAGGACTGGAGCTGGAATTTGGTGTTTTTGTAGCATTGGCTGTCTTCTTTGGCTGGGATGATTTGGCTGGAAAGAGAAGTAAATAGTTAATTTATGTCTGTATTTTTATATATATACGCAATTACAACAAAATATTTAATGTTTTTATATTCATATTATATTTGAATAAGAGTAAAAAAGTAAGCCTGGCCTTGAAGAGCTTGGGATGGAGCATTAAAATAATTATCTTTTCCACGAAAGGCCACCATCTTGGCAGCAGTGTCTATTGAGGCTGTAGCTAAAACACTGTTAAAAAACTCCCTGTCATTGCTGAGAAATTACACACTACACCGTGTTAGAATACTTAGATAAACACAAAGCTTTGACAATTATGAGCACTTTACATTGATATACAGTATATTTATATGAAGTATTTACACAGTAACATATATATAACATATATACATATATATAACATATATATATATATATATATATATATATATATATATATATATATATATATAACATATATATAACTGTTTTCCTGGCCATTGTGTCCCAGGAGATATATAAAATCAAATAAAATGTGTTTATTTTTAACCAAGAAAATCCCATTGAGATGCAAGATGAGTCATCAATAAATATGCCAATATTAAACAATATTACTTAGAAAATGTGTGTGTGACGTACACAGGGGAGCAGTGGTCATGCCAAAGGTCACATTTATAGTTCCATCCACATGACAACCAATGTTTATGCATGCCATGCAAAACAAACCACCTCTTACAAGCCACAACTCTTCCAGTTGAATAAAATTTGCATATGACCAAACTCTTTTCATGTGTGCCTACAATAATAAGGTCTATAAAGTGAGGACATTTTTCATATATATTTGAAATGTCTCATGTGACGTTTCAATAAAACCAAAAAAGAAAGTTCCTGTAATAAAACTTGATATCACCGGCTCTTTTTGTAAAGAATAGCAGTGATAGCTAAAGCTAAAGTTGTTGAAGAGGAAGGAGGATGTTCATTCACAGATCATGCAGGGCCAGAGGACAGGAGCACACTTACCAGTCCCACGGCTAGTGTTGTTAGTGTTGCGGGTGTTAGCTTTAGTTTGAATGGCAGAGCCTGACTTTCCAGTGGTTTTACATGTTTTTTTAGCCCCAGCAGAGGCCTCTCGCTGCCTGACTGTGCCTGCAGCCCCGGAGTCTTTGGTGAAGGTGGGCTGAGAGACGGCGGGCTGCTTTTTACTCTGGGGGTCTCGAGAGCGCACCGGGTTTGAGCGAGTGATGGAAGGCTTAATATTATTCCTCTCTGAGCGCCCAGAGGAAGCAGGAAGGAAAGCATGGTGTTAGGAAGTTCAATGAAGGTCAGATAAGAAGAGCAACTTCAAAAACTTAAGAATCCATTACAAATATGTGCATAACAATTGACAATCTAATATTTGTATGAACACAATTCACTGCAAACCATACAAGTCTATATTAGTATATCTATCTTCTATTTGTCAATGGAACAGCATAACCGCACAAAAAAATCTCACTTGAAATTACGAACTGCTGATACTAAAGCGGCTTGTTATGTGTGAGCTCAATATAAAACCGTTCTCCTGCCATTAACACAATACAGATATTACCGGCAGTATGTTTGTGCCTTTGAGATTATTGACCAGTAAACAAATATATCTCCAAATGGGAGAGTTCAATACTAACACAGTAGAGATGAGGAAGGCTCAGCGGCGTCAGGCAGTGGTGGTGTCTTCAGGGAGGAGGAAACATGAGGAGACTGTGAAAGTCTGCTGCAGGAGACTCATATCATGGAAACATCTATGTTCACATGAGGCAGGTCCAGAGATCACACACATGGTATGTGTCCGTCAGCTCCAATTGGTTCCTCCTCCCAGAACAAGACTTCAGAGATACCACTCGAGGAGGAGAGAGGAGTAACACCCCTGGTCTCACCCCTGGCTTCACTCCTGGCTTCACTTTTGGTCTCACTTCTGGTCTCACCTCTGGTTTCACCTTTGGCTTCACCCCTGATCTCACCCATGGTCTCACCCCTGGTCTCACCTCTGGCTTTTGGGCCTCACTGCTTCCATACACCAGTATCACACACCCTCATTCAGACACATTCTGTTGAAGCTACACATAAATCCCACAACTTGTGCTTGAAATACAGTCAACAATTTCAAAGTGTGAACAAGTACTGTATATTCCATGTGAAAGATCCGACACAAATCACTACAAAAATCACTACAATACATGTTGTGCATTCTGATTTGACACACTCATGTCAAACACTCGCAACTTTGAGCGGCTTGTGTGAATGCGCTCTGCTTCACTCCAGCTCCACACGGACACATGGAGCCAACGGGGTCAGTTTGTCTTTATCTGTGCTGCATTTTGCTCTGAAGTGTTGTTTTGTAAATGCTCTACACAGTGTGGGTGTGGTAAATCAAACCTTTTCTCCCCTCAGTGTTGTTGGCAGGTGCGACGGCTTGCTCTTGTTGTGTGTCTGGTGATTCTATGTCCACCTTGACTTCATCTGATGTCACACTGGACGTGGTGTGGCCATTCAGGTTCTCATTGTTCACAGGCTCATCTACAGACGACATCTTTGTTAACCAACTTACAATAAGGTTTCTAATCTTTCATAACTTAACTTCAGTGTTAAGTGATTTGCTTCTTCTATACCAGACAACTGGAAGACAGCAATGTTATTACTTTGACAGATTTGTTGGCAAACTTCTGTCTCTCTTAAAAGCGTCTGATAATAACAGTTAATAACATCACTATCTTACAATTTTCTGGCATAGAGGAACCAAATCCCTTCATCTTTCAAGGAGACAAGTTGAACCTTCCTAAACTGTTGACAGCAGGATATAATGAATGGAACAAATTGAAAAAGGCTGTGATTATCTCCTTGACAAGTAATGCAAAGATTATAAAGGGATATGAGCAAATGTATACACTACAAAAGTGATGAAAAATAAGTCAAAATTGCTCATATTTGGCAAAAGGTATCTAAATTTGAGCACATGTCAAATGTGCCTTAAAACAAGATTAGCCAAGATTAAAAAGACACAAGAAATGTCTGCCTTAAAATAAGGAAACAATGCAACAGTTCTTGAAATAAGACTAAATGGCTTTGTCCCATCGGCAAATCAGAATGTACTCAAATTAAGATAAAAACACTTTCAAGCCTTTATTAACTCATATTTTATCACTTTTTGCAGTGTAGCACATTTTTCAGGAAGTCATCAAACCCATTTGTTCTAATAAATCTTTTCCATGTTTGCCATAGTCTGACAAACGTTTTCAACACAAAGTCATCAAATCATCTTCAGCTGCAACAAGAGAAGTCACAAACCTCGATCAGGGATGAGTACTCCTTTCTTGATAAGCTCCTCTCGTGTTTGTCTTGTTGAAATTTTTCTTTCTAAAACTGAAAGATAAAACATAATGTATTTTTTATTTAATGGCCCCTTCTTTTACTGTGGCTGTGATTATATGTGTTCACATCCTCCCACACGTTGTTATTGCACAAACATTCCCAGCCGACGCTGCACGTAGCTGCACCACTCACTGGGTTTAAGAAGAGGAAGTACTAAAGCTCATTTCTGACATCCTCTTGAAGGCGATGCTGTTCTGACCCTCAGGCCAGGCTCCCCACACAAAACATTAGCTTAGATTATGAAGACAATTACAAAGAAAAAATGTGATCCCAGTTTGGGCACACATGGTTTCCAGTAGATACACAGTCACAGCACTGTGTTATGGCATACGTCTAACCAGCATTGATTACTGTGTTATAGATGGCATACGTCTAACCAGCATTGATTACTGTGTTATAGATGGCATACGTCTAACCAGCATTGATTGATGGTTAACAGGGAGTTCCCCGGCAACAAGGAAAGCAACTGCTGCAATAGCTGTAATATTTTTTAAATCTTATAATCCTGTAATTCCAAAACACAGCCGACATTGTTGCAAAATGCACATTAAGCAACCACTCACAACAAACAGCACTGAATATTTTTCTTTTTAAAAACACTGTAATGTTACTCCTCATCTGGTTGAGGACCCAAGGAAGAAAAGTCAGAAAAGTAAAGTAAACGCCATCTTATATTTGGAAGCATTTCTATTTTTGTCTTAACACAAAACAAAGGGATCTGACACAAACCTTTAGAGAGGTCCTGGAACTTGTCACTGGTCTTCTTCTTCCTCCATTTCCACGGTTTGAAAATCTTCCCTAAAGACAATAGCTTCCCTCTCTGCTGCCGCGAGCCGTTGGGGGCGTTTGTGGCGCTGTCCACCGCCACATCGCAGCCGGCCAGAGACGAGCACTTCTCCAACCCATCAACTACAAGGCACACAACCAGGGACACTTTTTAGAATTCACACTTAAATATCAATATGCATGTGTCCAAAAGAGAGGTTAAATTTTGTTTCCATCACAAAACATGTTCAAACCCAGTGTTTCTCTAACTGTGCTTCTGGGTTCCTCTGCAATTCAATTATCAATATGATTTTATTCCTGCATTAATCTTTTATCTTTATTAATCTTATCAAATATTTAGGCCAAACTCATGCCAATACATAAAACATTTAAAAACAAACATCAAAATCTTGAAATCCTGATAGCGGAAGACCAGAACAGGAGCTCCTTTGTGCTCTCTCATCGACAAGCAGTTTTGTCCTGCTGAAGACGCTTTATTAAGGTTTGGCCCATGTTATGATAACCAACTTCAAGGAAGATCAAGTTTTTTCACTTGATATTCTGAGTAGAATCTTGCTTTGACGATAGGGCTGTCAAAGCACGTAACTCAAACTCCCAGATGTGCTGTGTACATATAGTAGGAAGTCAGCGGGCCAAGTGCATCGTACAAGTCAGCAAGAAATATTAGAGAACAATTAAATCCACATTGAGGTGCAACGTGTTATTTTATAATGCAATCCAAAATATGTCTTATTGGCAGATCAATACACAGGTTGTCAGTATAATTTGATTTCACTTCATGAGAAAAAATAAAATAGAGCCAAGTAGCAGCAACAGTGAAAAGAAAATGGGGCCTAAAATAGAGCCCTGTGGAACACCGCAGTGAGGAGGCTCCAGGCCAGACTTGTGAGAACAGATCAACACTTTCTCTGAGAAAAGACCTGAGCCTGTTCAAAACAGTGCCTCACCTTTAAAAACACCATTTGCATCATACACTACATTCAAGGGATTCATGATCATACCAAAAGCAGATTCAAAAATAAATAGTAGAAACAAAAGTCACACACTGGCTTACACTGGTCAACTTGAGACGATTAGTCCTCAATCGCTGCAGAGCCAGAAAATATCTATTGCTAATTTGGGAACTTAAATGTAAATGTAAATTTCTCCAATGTGAGATCAATAAAGTTTTATCTTATTTTATTAAGTATTTTTGCAGCCGACTTACAGCAAAATCTAATGTGTGCTAAGTCCGGCTGCAGATGATGAGAATTACAGGAGAGTATCATCAGCAGCAGGAAGTTTCCAGCGTCTCAGTCTCTGTGCGTCTCGGCCATAGATCTATTATAATGTCGGTCTCGGCCATAATATGTGTGCACAGATCCTCGTCTTCATCCTCCTCTTCCTCCTGCTCAGAATAATGTGAGGAACGGGCAGGCATCAACACAGATACAAGCTGTTTAGATCATAGCTGACCCAAAGGAAAAGACTGAATAGGATTATTATCTAGACTCGTAGGTAACTAGTTTCAAGGGAAATTATGGTCTGTATAATCACTGTAATAATCAATAGGACACAGTTAACCAACCAAGGTGAGTCTTCAGAATCAGAATCAGAATCATATTTGTGACACGTAAGTAACAGGAAGTCACAGACTAGGAAATTGCTTTGGCTCGGGGCATCAGTCAGAAAATAGAGGTAAATAATAGAGCTTTGAACTTACAGTTTCAGTTTTAAAAGACAGAATTTGAAAACAACAGTGAATGATCCTCTTGGAATCTCTGCTGCTACTTCCAAATGTTTTCATTGAGGTTATGTTATGTGTGTGTGTGTGTGTGTGTGTGTGTGTGTGTGTGTGTGTGTGTATCGTAGAAACAGGGTACTCATGAAAGAGGGTCTGGTAAAAGAGATTTAAAAAATAATTAGAAAATAGTACTGGACCATGAATGGAATATGTTACAATCCACATATTGAAGCAATATTCTGTAACTAAATTATCAAATCATCTTCAATGCAAATCATATTTTAGAAAAAAGCACAATTGATAGAAATAAGGAGTTTATAATTCTTTGTAATTTTCAGTAAGAGCATGTCATGTATTTACACATGTTTTAACAGCTCTGTGTAAAACATGTTCTTAGTTCTGTGCAGGAAACCATAAATGTCTGGATTTATTGATTAAATACTTTGTCTGGACGTAAAGGAAGTCCGTCAGTGGCTTCACCTCAGCATTTTGTGTCAAATGTTCCCAGTCGGAAAGGGGCATTTCTGAGTGGACATTGCATGTTCTCCCCATGTCTGCGTAGGTTTCCTCCAGGTGCTCCGGTCTCCTCTACCACTAATAACAAGCACAATAGGTCTGGCCTTTGCCTCCTGTATGACGACCTCGCTCCCATCTCTGTGTGGAGTGAGAGACACATGCCCACAACAATTGTAAAGCGCTTTGTGACTCTGGTCTGTGAAAGGTGCTACATAAATAAATATTACTAAGTGAAAGAGGAATTGCTAGAACAATCAATTGTTAAAATGATGGTTAGTTACAGCTCTATGTAGAAACAATAAAAAAAAACATCTCTCGAGTTCTAGAAAATGTAATGGCATGATTGTAGACGTCTTGTGTCCCAGGATCCACTCATGCACACGACTCACTCCATTTCCACTTCTGAAATCAAAACAATAGACTGTGTATTTGAGCAGCTGCTTTGTGTATTGTTTACGACGGGACCGGCAGGAACACAGATTATGAGCTGCACTACTGCACACAATTAACCCTGTAGTTAAGTTAAAGAAGGACTAAGGAGCTGTGTGCTACCATTCGCAGAAGAAATAGTAGGTAATAATAAATGGTTTGAAATTCAACCAAAAAGCTTCATTACCAGTTGTACAAGACCAGACAAAACGACCAACAATCCAATACTTAGCACTTGCACTTGAATAATCCTTCTGTTACAACATCGGGATCGAAGAAATAGCCAATCCAGGAAAATGTGTTGGATCATTTATCAGCTCGAGGTTAAGCAGAAGTCTGGAGGGCTTTTTCAGGTTCAACACCAAGGTTCAAGGTATTCTTTATTGCAGTGTTCCCGGCACTTCATTTCCATTAAAAACAATCACACGGCACACCAGCAGCTGCACCTGATGCCAACATAAAACTAGCAGGCTTTATCAGCATCGCAAAGTCATCACCTAAAAGTCTTTCTAATCGTCTCACATAATTTTATTTTCACATTATTTTGACCAAAGAGCTGATATGGAGCATTATTAAAGGCACACCAAATATTTGACCCGGAACAAGGAGGACGAAAAGATTTGGTCCCCGTCTGGATGGGAGTGTTAGACCATAAATAACATGTTTTACACTTCTGAAGCTTAAGCGCAAATTCAGACTGGAAGACAGAAGAACCACGCTCACAGCCCTCAGCACAATCAGCCAATCACACTTTTTCTTCCCAAAGTTACATTTATAAAAATCCAATAATTGCTGTATCGTTTAGTTTATATATATGGCTATATTATATTTATATATATAGTTATAAATATATTCATAGCTATATAATATCATCAAAAGCCAACGTTATAAAAATATCATAAAAGCCATACAGCTAGGACTTGTACTATCAAACGCAATAAAAAGCATAGGACTTCCTCTACAATTCCAATCATGACACTACAGCTGCAAGAGGGAAAAATTGCTGACATGAGTTTTACTTGTGTCATAGTACAAGTGTGAGTCAGGGTGGGAGCCATGGATGGTCAAAAGCACAGCATCAGCAGAAGCAGTAGAAATGACTTTAGCTTGATTTTTGAAAGGAAACCCCAACACTACAGGTCTATCTCTTAATGTAGAGACAGGACAAACATGCAGTCTGCTAAAGAGCTGGTAACTTGAATCTAAATAACATAAAGTAGGGTTGGAGTCATGCATGAGGTCGTGGCAGTGTTATTTTTCCTCTTATTCAGATGTTATAGCAGGAACATGTGTAGAGAAAAGGGGTGGAAGGGAGAGGCTTCCTTCCTTCTCAGCGACATTGAGAGACATTAAGAACAGGCTAAACCAACAACTGGAGATAGGCACTGGAACATGGGAAAACTAAATAAAACTGTATAAAACCACACCTCCTTACTACAAGTATTAGATAATACTGAAGCCGCAATTAAAATGTACTTTTGTGTCAACAATAGTTCTAGTATCATTCTTAGAGTTTCTTCAGTACTTTGCCACCCAAGTCAAAAATGCCAGAGACAAACTTGACATTGTCGATTCAGCACAGTTGTATGAGGTGAGCAGAGGAGAGGGCGGCACTGGGCACTGGCTGAAGTTTTAACACCTGGGTCATTTATTCCACTCGAACGTTTCTCTCTGATGAAGACTGTACCAAAAGTACTTCATACACAAGTTTAATCCCCACAATAAAACTTCTAATTGCCTTTCTAAGTTCTGTAAAATCAGCATTTTAAAGTAATCACTACGACACTATAGCATTATGTAACACGCCAAAGAGGGCATTAACAATATGGATTCTCTGTGTGGCCTGGAGGTCTCTTTAATGTAGGCAAAGTAGAAGCAAAGAGAATTCAAATGCATGTGAATAGTAAGGCCAGATGGTTTCTGAGTGGGGAAAGAAAGCCATTATCAAAAGGGATTATTATTCCAAATAGTCCAAAATGAATTGTTAAAAAGCTGGATTAAAGGCAAGTCAGCCACAATTGCCACTTTATGCCATAAATGTAACTGGTCCTTTTGCTATAATTACAGTAAACATAGATTCAATTCAGTCTGGGTGAAGTATGTCACGCATGTCACATGTTTTCTGTGCACTGGGAAAAGGTTGATAAACTGTGAGCGAACTTGCATAGCCACAGACCTGACTCGTTATTATTGTCTATAATCTTCTCTAAAACGTGTTGAATGTCCAGACACACTTTATACTATTTCTGTGGGATTGTGTTGATGATGTACAACCAGTAGAAAGTTACAAAAATTAGTCTAGTCTAGTTTTCAAAGTTGCAGTGATTGTTTATTACTTTTCATAGCTCATTCAAAGCAAGAAAAACTCTCAGGCCATAAGTCAAACTTCAACTGTCCACTCTCAATTTGTGATGAGCTAAAGTTTCCCAACACCATAACAAAAGAGAGTAAGAGCATTTTAGATCCACAGTGTGTAGCGATCGGTTTTGAGGCCATGATATGGGGGTGTTTTCTGAGTCACCCAATCTTCAAACCAAAGCCTTGAGCATGAAGCGCTCTTAATGAAACACTTCTGGATTGGAACACTTTAACACAGCTGCCTCCATTACTCTTTCCATGGGTTTAAAACAGCTGTATAAATGTACATAGCAAACAAATCCTTTTCGCAGCACAAACACTGGTAGACTGTGTGCGCGCGTATTAGAATAAGCCCAAGAAAAAGGCGTAAAGAGAGACTTCCTGAATAAAGATAGCGGAATGTGCCTGGGTTACGCACGGCACGTACTGGCCCACATGAGACCGACTCACCACGAGCCGTCTGGGACACGGTGGAGACGGCAGCCTGGCCCATGGTCAGCGTTTAACACCGCGTAAATCCCATCCGCGTTCATTTCACTAAAGTTTGCTGCTGTTGCTGGACACTTTCGCAGCCTCCACACTGTCTACGGACTGGCCTCCGCTGGCGCGCTCCGTCTGCGCGGTCACGTCCTCTCCACCCCTCCTCTCTCTCTCTGTCTCTCTCTCTGTCTCTGTCTCTCTCTCTCTCTGTCTGTCTCTCTCTCTCTCTGTCTCTCTCTCTGTCTCTCTTTCTTTCTTTAGGGAAGGCAAGGACAAGGCAAGTTTATTTGAATAGCACCATTCATAAACATGGAAACGCAGAGTGCTGAACAAAATTAGCACTATATATATATATATATATATATATATATATATATATATATATATATACACACATATATTAGTTAGTTCTAGTTATCTAGTTATCTCTCTCTCTCTCTCTGTCTCCACTGTCTCTCTCCACTGTCTCTATTTTCTCTATCTCTTCTCTCTCCTCTCTCTCCGCTGTCTCTCTCTCCTCTCCCTCTCTCTTCTCTCTCTCTTCTCTCTCTCTCTTCTCTCTCTCTCCTCTCTCTCTCTCCTCTGTCTCTCTCCTCTCTCTCTCTCCTCTGTCTCTCTATGGGAAGTAGCACCAGGCTCAGAGCAGAGCAAAGAGGCTGGAGCTGGAGCTGGAGCTGGAGCTGGAGCTGGAGCTGTAGAATGCCGCTCATTCCTCACATGCAGATTAGAGGCTCTGCTGGGGTCTTAAGTGACGGGGTCTGCCACCTCGTGCCACAGGCTAAACTCGGGATTAGAGAGGCTGAAGAAAGAGGGGGGCGCAGTGGTCTCCATCCTGTTTGCAGAGAGATACCGTGGTCAGACCAGGGCACTGACGGTACGTGGGGAGTGAGCTCATGGAACAGGCTGCATGTCACGCAGAGTAAAAATAACGTGGGTAGTGCAATAGTTCAAAGGCAGATCCATTAGACAGAGGGCTGAGACATAGAGGACTCAGCAGTCCAATGCTAACTTATCATAATGTCAACATAAACAAATAGAAAAGCACTCGTAGAACGCAGACCTCTTTAACGCAGACCAACTTTAATCATTTCTTTATTAATCCGGATCACCTCCTAAATCTAATGTTTTGTATCTCTTTTTACACAGCAAAAGAATCGAATCATGCGTTCCATGTCCCTTTATATATGTGTTGGCTTGGGTGAGCAGCAGCAGCACTGTAGTAAATGAGCAGATATCAAAACAGTCTGAGACATCAGAATACACTCTCAGTCACATCAACACTGCCCTCTAGTGACAGAAACGTGATCATGGCTTTTCAGCTGAGACCTGACGCATGCCCGTGGATCTATAATAATGGGCATGGCCCCACACGTTTGTGTCAAGTTGTTAAAGTCAGTAAATGTTTTTAAATTTGGGATGATTATTTATTAATTAATTAATTGATTAATTAATGTATTTATTATTGCAACAACCTGAGGCGTGCTATGGCCAACATGCCTCCGGGTGAATTGTCCTACATAATGAAAAGTAAATGTTAGTAACTTTAGAATTGTCTACCATTAATGCCTTCAGATAAAGCTGGTGTAAAACTGAGCTGATACAATATTTTATAATATTTTTTTTTTTTTATAATATATTAAATGTAAATGTGGTTGACGTGGCTCTGTCAGATCACTTCTGTGTATTTTTTGACATGTGTTTTGATAGTAAACAACCATATATATCTGAATCTGCAATTGTCAGACACAGACACATAAATGAAAACACAACCGAACTATTCATGGGAATGATAAACTTTGAGAACACATTGTGTTCTACTGTTGACGAATTGTTTAACTCTGTCACCGCCAATGTTATAAATGTTCTGGACATCATCGCTCCTGTGAAGGTTAAAATGATTACAAATAAGCCAAAGGCCCCCTGGACTAAAATGGACTCAGTCATGGTACAGAAGAGAGAGTGCCGTAGGGCCGAGCGGAAGTGGCGAAAATCCAATCTCCAGGTTGATCATGATATCTTCAAAAATGAGTTGTGCAAGTTTAACAGGGTGCTACGTAGAACAAGAGAAATTTATTTTTCTAAAACCATTGATGGCTGCAATAATAATCTACGACTTATGTTTTCAACAGTTAACGGATTAACAAACCCCCCTGTTCAGCTGCCATTCGAATTTGCTTCAGAATCTAAATGTAATGAGTTTGCACAATTTTTCAATGACAAGGTTCAGAGCATCAAAAACGCCATCACCTCCAAGGCAGAAATAACATTACAACAGCCGGTGAGGCTTTTTTGAGCTATCGCACTTTGCACCAACAGATAATGAAACTGTCCAAGATGTTGTCTCTAGCCTTAGTTCCTCCACATGTAGCCTGGATGTACTACCCACTAAATTTTTTAAGTCTGTTTTGAGCAGTCTTTTACCTTTGCTCACACAAATAGTGAACATGTCTTTCTCATCTGGAACATTTCCAATGGCCCTGAAAACGGCAGTCATCAGACCCCTCCTAAAAAAGAGGAGTCTAGATGCCACAGTTCTTAAGAATTATCGCCCCATTTCAAATCTGCCGTTTATGGGAAAAATTCTGGAAAAAGTTGCTTACCAACAACTTACAGAATTCTTAGTAACTAATAGTTTGTTTGATGCGCTCCAGTCCGGCTTTAGAGCCAATCACAGCACTGAGACTGCACTAGTGAAGGTTACAAATGACATCCGACTTAACACCGACACAGGAAAAGTCACAGTTTTAGTAATGTTGGATCTGAGTGCTGCGTTCGACACAGTCGACCACGAGATCCTCATGCAGAGACTAGAGCACTGGGTGGGTGTCACTGGGACTGCCCTAAGTTGGTTTAGGTCTTACCTAGAAGACAGGAAATACTTGGTTCAGATAGGAAACTGTGTCTCAGATCATATGGCTCTGACCTGCGGAGTGCCACAGGGATCAATTCTGGGGCCTCTTCTGTTCAATATTTACATGCTGCCGTTAGGTCAGTTAATACGCTCCAACAATGTATCCTACCACAATTACGCTGATGACACTCAAATTTATGTCTCACTTACTGCAGGAGAACATGGACCAGTGGAATCACTCCTTCACTGTACTCAACAGATTAGTGATTGGATGCAAAATAACTTCCTTCAGCTAAACGCAGACAAAACAGAATTGATTGTCTTTGGTCCTCAGAAACAAAGAGAGAGCGTTATTCGTCACCTCCAGTCTCTCTCCCTGGAACCTGTAGGCAAGGTCAGAAACCTAGGAGTTATAATGGACTCAGACTTAAATTTTAACAGTCATATCAAATCAGTAACATCAGCAGCATTTTACCATCTGAAAAACATTGCCAAAATTAGAAACATAGTGTCTAAATCAGATCTGGAGATTCTCATCCATGCATTTGTCTCCAGTAGGTTAGACTACTGCAATGGCCTGCTCACAGGTCTCTCCAAACAGGCTGTAAAACAACTGCAGTATGTCCAAAATGCTGCAGCTCGAGTCCTGACCAGGACCAGGAAATATGACCACATTAGTCCAGTTCTCAGGTCTCTGCACTGGCTTCCTGTGGCTCAGAGAATAGACTTCAAAGCAGCACTGCTTGTGTACAAGTCTCTCCATGGCCTCGCACCAGGGTACTTAAGCGACTTGTTAGTCCCATATGAACCGGCCCGGACTCTGAGGAGCACAGGAGGTAGCCTCTTACTGGTTCCAAGAGTCAGAACTAAACATGGGGAGGCAGCGTTTGAGATTTATGGAGCTAAAATCTGGAACAATCTTCCTGAAGATGTGAGGCTAGCATCTACTCTGGCAATTTTTAAATCAGGGCTAAAAACTGTTCTTTTTAGCTGTGCATACGGCTGAAGGATTTTATTGATACATACTCTTTTTTGTTTTTTTTTAATGCATTGTGGTTATTTATTATTTTAATCCCGTGTGTGCTTTTAATATTTTTTTTTTTTTTTTTTTTTTTTTTTTTTCATTACTTGTGATTTTATTCTGTTTTTAATGTATTTATTGATGTCTCTGATTTGTGTGATATTATGTGGGTTGTGAGGCGCTTTGAGTGGCCTTGTGTTGGAAAGGCGCCATACAAATAAAGTTGATTGATTGATACAAGGTTCTGGGCCAGACCAGAGGTGTAGATGCCCCTAACCTCTGATAAAAGCAGCTTTCAGACCTGATCATGGCTCTGTGCCCGTCTGCTGCGTGGGGATTGTCTAAAGTGGACGCCTGACACCAACATCTGACTTACAGTGTTATTCAAGAAACACTACATTATTACAGAAAGAATAAGCGTCTGTAAATGTCTGGAGGGAATTTGAATCCACTTTATTCTGCAGTGGTGAAATGTCAACATGAAGAATTGGCAGAATAATGGTTTGAAAGGACAATTGTTCTGTGATAAGTCGAAAGTGGCACAGGAAGGAACACTGGGGATGGTGACAGATGACAGGAAGGAGCACTAAGCGATGTTAAAGGGGGAAACTGATTGGGGTGATTTTGTGTTGTTGGAAAACAAATCTATTCTTGTTACACTGACATCACACTGAATGTACCTTTGTGGATCAGCTTTAATAAAATAATTACTATATCAACTTAGCATTCAATAATTGATGGAAGGAACGATACATTTTGGGTTCAATATTTATCGTCTGTATATTATTTTTTGCCGTTTACTTTGTAATACAATACATCTTTAGCTGTGGAGGGTTTAATAAGTCACACTTAATTATCTTTTATTCTTTTAATGGTGATGGATTGAACAAAGAATGACTTTACTGTGATTATTATTACTATTCATATTATTCTTTCTTCTCTGAACTTGTCTTCTGGTGGCTGTTTGGGTTATCTGTGTCTTGACCTGGGACATAAGTCTAGCCATGGAGGTAGGACTTGTTAGCTACAACAGTATAGGACCACATCATATCCATGTATTCTTCCAAAGCTCACAGAATGTTTCTTTTTTTTGTGTCATTTCTTTCTCACTGGTGGTTTTGACCTGTCTTGCTGTTGCATC